GAAGGAGTGGGAAGACTGGTGTGGAGGTTGCTGGGATAAAATCCGGACCACAAAAGGCAGAGCAGAGATTAGTATTCTGGCTTCCTCTGGCCCGCTGCAGCTTCCTGCCAAGCAGAGATAGGAGCATGTTTGTTTCTATCCACCCAGAGCCCAGGAGTTATGGGAACCCATCCCAAGGAGGAAGACTGAAGGCCAGATCGGGCTGAACTGAAAGAATGGGAGTGAAGGGGATGGGTGTCAGTTTGTTGGGGTTGGGGGAGGGGTAAGCAGGGTGAGATAGATTAGTGGGCTCATGCTCACACAGGGAGGAGTCCAGGTTTCCCTGCTTAGCCAGGCTGCAGGACCACAGGGCTCAACCATTTTTACATTTGGTAGCATAACAGTGCCTGGCCCGAAGTCTCCTGGTTTGTACTCTCCAGGTTTAGTTTTTGCCCTGATTGTGATAATTAAGATGGTCACCATAGCCCCATGATAGCCAGATTCCTCTGCTTGCTGCCCCAAGCCTATGTCTCATAACTTTAAAAAGTATAAAGCATTTTAGGCATGCCAAGAGGAGGAACAATTTAACAAACACTTGCTCTCATTACCCAGCCTAAGAAATGAATGTGTGGTGGCTCTCAAAGAGTCAGAGTCCCTTTGCCTCCCTCTGTCCCTGCGACCTCCTTCCCAGTCAGATGGCTGCCCCCAGAGGTCACAGCACTTGTGCTATAATGCAGCTGATGATTTGAAAGGGCTCCCACTTTCTGGATGCTGGCAGCCTGAGGGGCCTGCCTGCACCCCATGGCTATACTGAGAGCTTACAGCTGGCCATTTCTCTTCTCTTTCATCCCTTGCCTGGCTTCACGGCCCTGCTCTGCGTCCTTGCCAGCGGAATTGGTATTTGTTTCATTCTTTTTCCGTACCAGCAGGCACTGCCTGGTACTGAGGGTTGTATTGTGTTCTATTGTATTGACTGAGAGTATCATAGGAGAGTTGCCCACCAAACCCAGAAGGGTCTGGGATGATAGCCTGCCCTTTGCCTCAGCCTGGAGGGATGGCATCAGGCCTAGCCCAAAGCAAGTAGGGCACGTGGGTGCTGGGTGGCCTTGGGGGCCTCATGACAAGGCTTTCTTTTTCTGTAAGGCCAGTGTAGAGTTGCAAAGAACCCTGATGCCCAAGAGTTAAGCTGCAGGCTCCAGGACCCAGAGGATCAGACAGACGAGGAGTGCAGGATGGGGCATGCTTCTCCGTGTCTTTGCCTTTGGATAGGCATCAGGAAGTCTCATTTCAGGAGCCTTAAATGTAAAGTTCTCAGAGTGAACGCCAAGTAAACTCGTTTGGGTAGATTCTACCTATAGACATGCACCATATGAGAAACTAAAACTGAGAACCTTTTAAGCATTTTATTAATTTATTTTGGTTTATATGAATATGTAAATTACTCATGTGTTTAACCTTTTGTTTCTTTATTTGGGTTTTTTAAGACCCCTGTGTAGCCCTGGTTTCTGTGTAGCCCTCCCTGACTGTCCTGAAACTCATTCTGTAGACCAGGCTGGCCTGGAACTCAGATATTCGTATGCCTCTGCCTCCCAAGTGCTGGGATTAAAGGCGTGTACCACCACTACCCAGCTAATATAATATTTCCAAGTTGAATGTGGTGGCACTTGGGAGGCTGAGGCAGAAGGATCACAAATTCAAGGCTAGCCTGGGCTATATAGGACTTTGTCTCAGCCTTATGGTGGCGCATACCTTTGATCCCAGCACTCAGGAGACAGACGCAGGTGGATCTCTGAGTTCGAGGTCAACCTGGTCTACATAGTACCTGGACAGCCACGGCTATACAAAGAAACCCTGTCTCAAAAAACCAAAAGGAAAAGAAAAAAGGACCTTGTCCCCCTCAGAAGAAGTAGAAGAGGAGAAGGGGGAAATGAGGCAAAGAAGGGGTTGACAAAAGTGAAAATGACAAAGAGCAGCATGGTTTTGTTTTCCACGAACCTCTTTAATGCCTGGCTTTCTGGAAGGCAGCTTAAGTCCTGTGCTTCCTTGTTCAAGTGGTAACATCACATCCCATAGACATCACATCATTGCCATAAGGACCAGTCTTCTCTGCATCACGGTCCGATAGATCTGGCCTGATGGACATAAGGGTCCTAGTATCAGTGCCACCGGGCTAGAGGCCAAGCAGGAGGGAGCTGCAATCTGACAGGCAGGTGGCTGGGTCCCGCTGACCGAGTCTGTCCCCGCAGGTGTCCTGGCTCTGTGGGTCTTGGTGACTCATGTGATGTACCTGCAGGATTACTGGAGGACCTGGCTCAAAGGGCTGCGCGGCTTCTTCTTCGTGGGTGTCCTCTTCTCGGCCGTCTCCATCTCTGCCCTCTGTACCTTCCTGACATTGGCCATCACCCAGCACCAGAGTGAGGACGGTCCAGGGAAAGGAGGAAGGGAGAGGGCTTGGGGGTAGGGAGCAACCTGGGAATATACCCTGCCTGGGACTCCTGTCCAGTTTCTACAAGTGTGATTCCGAATGGCTACAGGGACTAAATGGGTCACCTGTCCAGCTTTCTTACTGTTAAAGTGGGGAGAATGAGAGCCCCCACCTCCTCAGGGGCAGGAGGATTCCAGACTGGTATGAAGTATTTGACAAGGCTGGCTCACATGAACACCTCCCACCCCAGAATTGCTGGGGTCCTTTAGTCTCTGCCTAGCTCCAGGAGGGCAGCACCCCCTGGTGGCTCTAGTAAGAAGTAGCCAGAGGCCATCCCTGTTTGATGCAGGTTGGCAGTGGCCTGTGTGTCACAAAAGGGGAGTGGATGTCACGGACCTGCTGGCCAACTCTGACCTGCTCTCATGCCTCAGCTTTCTGACTACACATGCAGGAATGCTCTAAGCATGCTCCACACACCAGTCTTCAATAGCACTGGTTCAAGGCCCAGAGGCTATAGGGATGTAGAGTGGAAAGGAAGGGGGGAGGGGGTCTAGTCTTGGCTGCTGGAGGTGCTTTGGGTTGATCTCTCAAGTTATCATTGGTTCCTCTCCCCTGCAGGTCTCAAAGACCCAACCAGCTACTACCTCTCCTGCGTCTGGAGCTTCATCTCCTTCAAGTGGGCCTTCCTGCTCAGCCTCTACGCCCACCGCTACCGGGCTGACTTCGCTGATATCAGCATTCTCAGTGATTTCTGACCCAGGGAATGAGGTCACTCCAGCCTGGGGGCCCTCAGGACCTGTACTCGGCTTCTGAGTCAGCATAGGAGCCTGCCCCTGACCCTGGGGACTCCAGAACTGTGGCAGGGCATATATGGCTGGGGCCAGTTCAGTTGCCCAGCAACTGTTGGAGGGGCACTGCCAACCTGCCTGTCAGCCTTTCCAAATGGATCTATTTTCTTAGTACTCTGAGGAATCTTTGTAAGTAGGGCCATGATAATGAACTCCAGGTGTCAAGGGGTAGGGTCTGAACACATGACTAGTGGCAGGGTTAGGCACAGGCGTCCTTCCTGCCCCAGACTTCATGAAAGCCATGGGGCTGGGGGAAAGCATTTGGAAAGGTTTGATCAAATAAGGACTCTCTAATAGAGATCTCCAAATCCCATCCCAACACCTCCATCCTGTTGTCCTCAAGGGTCAGGTATCTGAACTCACCAGTCCCTGGGGAAGTGACAATTGGCTTTTTCCCCCAAGCTGCAAAGCTGAACAGAGTCCAGTGTCTCTCCTCCTACCTTCCCATCCAGAGTTTGTTTCCCATGAGGGTGCTAGAGCCAGCCAACCATTCCCATGTGTCACACATGCGCACATGACCACAGATTACCAGAGCCGGACTCCTCGGATGCGGCTAGAGCTGAGGACCACAGGAAACATACCCCCTGCACCTAGAAGGGCTTCGGGAGAGGGGGCAAGCTGGTGGGAGCCAGAGGGCTCTCCTTCTGTACTCCTGAGTCTCCAACCTTGCTCTTCACCTGCCCCTCACTGCACAAGACACACCCAGCCATGAGGACCTTCTCCCCGTTGATCTTTATCTCTCTGCTGAATGGACACAGGCCAAGGCCTTACCTAAGCAGAGAGGCAGGGCCGGGGCTGCTACATATATCCTTTATGTTAGGTTGCCATTTTGCACGTCCACTCTTCCACCAGGGTCCTGCCCCTTGCTCTCTGACTGACCTGTGTCACTGTCACGGTAGCAGAAATACAGCAGCCGTATTGTCAGCCTCAGGGTGTTTCTTTGTGGGGGGCTCTTGAGAGGGGATTGTAAGAGTGGGCAAGGAGTGGGCTCTACCTATCTGATTATTTAAGATAGGCTCTGGGCTAGCGGGCCGCCTGCCCTCTTGGCATGAGACCACTAACTCAGACCTCCTTTCCTCTCCCAGCCCTGCCCTATGTGACTAGGATGCCCACAGTCCCAGCATCCCCCACAATCCCATCTCCACCCCTTAGCCCAGAGAAAGGGATTTTTTTTTTCTCCTAAGCCCAGACTGCTCCAGGCTCCAAGGTATATGGTGACCAGGCTGGGGAGACTTGCTGGCACCCCCTCTGCTTATGCTGGGCACACTTTTCCTGGCCTGTTGCATTGCCCATTCTTTTTACCTTACAGTAATGCCCACAATATCATGGTACTTTAAAGCAGGAAGGAGCCAGAAACTATGTCCCCATCTAGAACCTTTCACTGAAGGATACAGGAGGCAGCAGCGACTCAACTGAGTCCCAGCTAGGACTCAAGCCCAGGTGTGTTTGCATCAAGATCTTTTGGGGTGTCTTGGCAAATTGAGTCTGAGAACTTGTCCCTGTATCCCACAGGGCCCAGTGTGTAGGGCTCAGTCCAGGGTCATCGCCCTTTTCACCTGGGTTGGTAAGCTGTATCTGGAGTAGGCCCTTCCTGCATGCGGCAGCCATGGAAGGGCAAGGGACCGGAGGGCCTGAGTTCAGCCCACACTTGCCCCCTTTCTTAGCCCGTCGCAGGGTGCCGGGTGCACACCCCCTGCACTGATAATCTCTCACTAACATCCAAGAGGCGTACTCACAAGGACTTTAAAGCAAATAAAACATTTATTGTTCAGTTTTTTTTCCATTTTTTTCTTTTTTACAAAAACATGCATACATACACAAGGTATGGCAGGTCTTGGGGAAGACACACACGCACACACTCTTACACGCACGCACGCACGCATACACACAAACACTTTCTTGGCCCCAGGCCTGACCTCAAAAGTCTTGAAGACTTCTGGGGTGGCCTCCCCTCCCCCATGTCTGTCTATTCTCCCACCTTATCTCCCCTCAGCCAAGCTAGTCCTATGTGGGGCAGCAGTCATAGTCGAGGTGGGGGAACCCCAGAAACAGAAGGCAGGCTCATTCTGGGGGCAGTGACCAGGCATCCCTGGGCTTGTGTTGTGCTTCTAAGGGGAGATGAAGGTTTGGCACCATTGGGTCAGGAAGCACAGGACTCAGCACCTGTCTGCTGCACCAAGGCACTGAGATGGTCCACATAGGGTGGCCTCTGGCAGGGCAGTGACCAGATGGGAGGCTTGCTGGTGACTGCTCACAGAGAGAGCAGCTCAGAGTGGCTCTCAGAGCCCGGGGCTGCCGAAAGACAACTGAGGAAGCTCTCCTGTCCTCAGGAATAGGGGACCCCTTGGCTCCTACTACCCTAGCCCTTCAGAACCTGGGAAGGGCCACCCTGGCTGAGGCCAAGTTCACATTTCTGTATGGAGCCTGGGGTGGTGTGCAAAATCTGGGGCCTTCGAAGTTAAAAATAGTGGCAGTTACGGGTCCACCTGAACCAGTCCTCCGCTGTGCAGTCCTGAGGGCTGGAGGCCACAGCTAGGGGACTGGGCCCATTCTGGAAGAGCCCAGCTGGGCCCTAGTGCCCAGCCTGCCTCTTCCCAGGATCCTTCCTGGTCCCCATCCCAGACCCAGTGGCCTTCTCAGTTCCCTGGGGTAGCTGTCAGGGTAGCTATGCTCTGGACCTGACTACCTGCCCAGAGGATCTCTGCAGACCCAGGAACAGGGCTGACAACAGAGGTGAGGAGACGCCTGAAGGGCAGGTGATCTGCTCTGAAGCCCTAGAGATTCATAGGTTCTTCCTCTTCCACCAGCTGCTGCGAGGGCCTGGGAGGGGGACAAGGGCAGGGTGTTGGAAAGCCAGTTGGGAGGATCCAAGGGGATTTGAAGGCATGGGCCTAGGATTGGGGGGTCTGGGAGTACCTGTCTTCAGCCAGGATGCCCACAGAGAGGGATGCCAGTGCAGTCACGGCTTCCACTTCTGCATCAGCCCCTGGTACTCTGGGCAGCCAAGAGTCTGGACAGGAGGCCAAGCGTTGCATGCAGCCCCAGTATTTCCCTAGGACGAGAAGCTGGGTCAGAAGGGGAAAGACAAGCTGTTTGAGCTATATCCTAGACTGATCCCATGGCTAGGGACACAGGTCCAGAGCCCAAGAATAGTGGTCATGTCATCAGCTTGAGGTGAGTGCCCCTTCCTGCCCTTACCTCCCAACTTACCCCTTCCCTACCACCCTGGGTAACAGCAGATTCAACGTGGCTATAAGGACATCTTCACAGATAACCAAGCCCCTCTCCCATCCTTGGCTAATATTCCACCCTAGAGGGCTAGCGAGATAGATCAGCAGTTAAGAGCACTAGTTGCTCTTCCAGAGGACCTGGCCTTGATTCTCAGCATACAATAATCTGAAACTTGGGTTCCAGGGATTCTGATGCCTTCTTCTGACCTATAAGAGCATTGTATGCTCTCATACGCATTGCATAGCCATACATGCAGACAAAATACCCATACACATAAAAAATAATTAAGAACTAAACCAGACATCTTTAATCCTAGCACTCAGAACGCTGAGGCAGTTGGATCACTGAGTTCAAGGCCAGCCTAGTCTACATAATGAGTTCCGGGAGAGCCAGGGGTTCCATAGACCCTGTCTCAAAAAATCAAAAATAAAGACCACTCCATAGATGTGTGGATTCTAAAAGCACCAGGAGGGTCCACTCGACCCTACATCAGGTTTATGACAAGATTTGCTCACATATACCTGTGCCTAGTCTTCCTAGAGCAACAGGGTCCTCCTCATGTGACCTCCATAGTGCTCAGCCTACCCCTAGGAGGCCAGGCATGGTAGTAAATTATTGTAATTCCAGCAGACAGAGGCTGAGGTAGGAGGGTCACATACACGTTGGAAGGTAGCCTGGGCTACTTAGTGAGACCCTGTAAAACTTAATGACCCAAGAGCTGGGTTATTTAGCAGTAGAGTGAGAGCCTAGCACATGCAAGATCCTGGGTTCAATCACCAGTACTGCAGGGGGCTGGGATTAGCGGGAGGTAAGACAATCGCGGTACAGAGCCAGGGCAAGCATCTCCGCACCTGCTCTGCACAGCCAGCTCTGGTCCACGGAACACTTACCATCCTGCTGTTCTGAGACAGGGATGGACATGGGCCAGCTCAGTGCAGAACCTGGCCCATGAGAGGTTCCACAGGCAGCTTCCCCAACCAAGCCCCGGATATGGGGAAATCTACTTTATTCATCTTTGTATACCAATGGAGATCCGGGGCCTTCACAGAAAGTGCTCAACCTAGTTGAAGTTGAATCTTTAACATGTTTTCCAAATGTGAGCTCTTCAATATGGTTATATTCTGAGACCCAGGTCGGCCCTCCCCACAGCTCTCCAGTCACTGGGACTAGTACCGAGGAGCCTAAGCCAAGCCTTTATAGCAAACAAGGCCTGAGTGTTGTTGTCAGCCTGGCCTCTGGCCCAAGATTATAGCCAGAGATGGAAGGCCAGTCCCAACCATAAGGAAGCCACTGTTGTGTCCATGCTGGGTCCAAACTGGAGGGCTAAGAGGTCACCCCAGGCTAAGAGGTCACTCACTCATGGGGATATGGCCACCATTACTCCTGGCGTGGTTCCTGGGAATCCTATTTGAGATCGTCAGTATGTCTCTGGCCTGGCAGGAACTGGGTCTCTGAGACTTTGCCAGTGGGATGGTGTACCCTGGAGGCATTCCCAGGTTTGGACCCAGCAAGTATCCCAGGTCAAAACTCACTGTGCACCCTGATCACAGCTTCCAGAGAGCGGAGGGCATTGAGGTTGGGCTTCTGTTTCCAGCCTTCTTCTGAAAGGGGATCCACCTACAGAAACATTCCATCAGGGACCCCAAGCTCAGCCTGCGTGAACAGGCATGAGCTGCTGGCCCTAAACCTAATCCCACCCCTTCCCCTCTTATCTACCTACTCTTCGCTCTAAACTGTGAGAGCCAGGGGCACCTGTCCCAGGGAAGAATAGAGATAGCTGTGGGCCGAGCTTACCTTGTTGCCCAGAAGAGCAGCCACACAGGCCTCAGAGGCGTCACAGATGGCTGTGAGGTCATGACCACCCTCTAAGGCCAACACCACTGCACCTCCTGCCAAGTTCATCAGCTGCTGTGTCATGTACCCAAAACCTACATGGTTGAGGTGGGAGAAACTGTAGAGGGCGAGAAGAGAGGGAGCCCCATTCCCTACGCTGTCGTTTCCCTGCTTGCTTCCTCCTTCGTAGACAGTGTCTTAAAGATGCAAACCCCACCTGTATGCTTCACTCCAACCTCTGAAAAGTCAAGAGTCTTCTATACAAGGCCCCTCAACTAGCAGGTAGCAGGGCTGAGACTCGAATCCCAACATCACCTCCAGTCCGAGTCTCTCATTGGGCCACCAGCTCTTTGTTCCCAGGCCCCGTGGCATAGTGGACGGCACTGACATTCTGTTCTGAGAATGCTGCTCTTCAAACTTCCTCTGAAGCAGCTGATGGCCCAGCCTGGAAGCCTGGCTTCTACAACTGGCCTTCCATCTGGCAGACCTAAGTCTCCAGGGGCCTGGTCCTGGGAAATAGGCTGTGCTGTGCTAGGCTAGGAGAACCCAGGGAATTCCAGGGCCTGCAGCCCTGCTCCTGACCTTACACGTGGCCCTGGACTGTGGCCGCTGCTTCCTACCTTTTTATTCTGGCAGGTGCATTCCTGTCCCCACACAGCCTGCTCTTACTCCCCACACTCCCCCATAGCTAGGGCCCCCTTACATTTGGCAGAAACATGGTAGCCACCCAGCGGGGCTGGGTGACCCTCGGCAGCATCAAATCCAGCAGACACCAGGACCAGGTCTGGAGCAAACTCTCGGGCAATGGGCATCACCACGATCCTGAAGTTGCAAGGAGAGGCATTAACCACCTGGGGTCCAGCACAGCCCATCCTTGCTTCTCCCGCCAACTTCACTGAGGGCACCTATCCTAATGGGATGCCCTGATCTCCTTCACCCTGGCTGTGGCTCTGGTCGAGCAGCCTCAGAACTCAGCCATACAGAGACTTTAACGAGCAAGGGGCAGAATGGAGACAAAGATCCTATCATGGGATGAGAGAAGTGCGTGTGTGCACGCTTGGTGTGTGGTTTGCACAGCCAGCTGCATTTGTGCTTGCTCTGGTCACTAAGCCTCAGGGACTCTGGCTAAAGTTGAGCACACTATGTTTAGAGGTGACCTGGGCAATTTGCCCCCTAAGAGTGCACCAGGGTGATCAGACCTGAAGTCCTGGGCTGCCAAGGATCCTTCATCTTCTTCCCCCTGCTTGCCCCTAATGCCCCAACCCAAGGCTGGTGTCCATTTAGGCATTTAGCTTGGCACAGACACCAGGGAGTCCCACTCAGGGTGCCTGAAGAATTAATTCTCATGGGAGAACCTCCAGAAAAGGACTTCCAGGTTTAATGTAGAGTTCCATTTTCCCTAGAAACAGACATAGGGGCCTGGAATGAAGGAGACAAGGTCTTCTTACAAGAGTCCAAAGATCTTTTTTTTTAATATTTATTTATTTATTATGTATACAATATTCTGTCTGTGTGTATGCCCAAAGGTCAGAAGAGGGCACCAGACCCCATTACAGATGGTTGTGAGCCACCATGTGGTTGTTGGGAATTGAACTCAGGACCTCTGGAAGAGCAGGCAGTGCTCTTAACCTCTGAGCCATCTCTCCAGATGTGTGGCTCTGACTTTCTCATTCTTTTTTTTTTTTTTAAATATTTATTTATTTATTATGTATACAATATTCTGTCTGTGTGTATGTCTGCAGGCCAGAAGAGGGCACCAGACCTCATTACAGATGGTTGTGAGCCACCATGTGGTTGCTGGGAATTGAACTCAGGACTTTTGGAAGAGCAGGCAATGCTCTTAACCACTGAGCCATCTCTCCAGCCCCCTGACTTTCTCATTCTTGTGTGTGTCCTATTTCCTTATTGGAGCTGGCTTACACTGGCTCGTAACCAAATATGAACAGATTGACAACTGGTCGCTTCTAACCTAGGGCTGTGGGAAAGGGAGGGGAGACAGTCTTGCAGGACTGACTTCCTCTAGACCCCAGAGGGCTTACCTGAAGGCAGCGAGGTACTCAGGATCCCCCATGGGTGGATCCAAGCCCCCAGCCCAAGCCACGTTGACATTGAAGCCTTCACCATTGCCAGTCCCCACCTGGAAAACAAGCCGCAAGGAAGACGTGAGAAGAACAGAGTCCCAAGCTCATCCAGGTTCTTCAGTTCCACACAGGGGAGCTGAGGCTCAGAAAGGATAAGCCACTGCTCAGAACCACACAAGAGAGGGGCAGAAAGGGTCCAGGAGGAAAATCAGTACGTGCCGGAAGATGCTGAGCCAGCACAGTTACCTCATCCACAGCCCCACTGCCTGGGAAGAAGTTGCCGTCATCATGGCGGTGCAGGGAAATGTACAACACACTGGGGTCCTGGTAGAACGTTTGCTGTGTGCCGTTGCCATGGTGAACATCCTGCACAACACAGCAGATGGCCGGTTAGGGTAGTCCACAAGCAGAAGGACTTCAAGGTTGGTGACCATTCTGAGTCCTGGGACACTAGGCTGGTGGGGTCAGGAAACTACAGTTTCTAGGCTCATATGACTGAGTTGCCCCAAGTAATCTACTGTTTGGCAGTGATCTCCATCTCCACGTGGAAAGACTTCCCGTCTTGAGATAGGATCTCAATATACAGACCAGGCTGGCCTTGAGCTCACAGAGACCCACCTGCCTCAGCCTCCTGAATGCTGGGATTACTGTGCCATCATACCCGGCAAAAACTCTATATATAGCTTGTGTGTGTGTGTGTGTGTGTGTGTGTGTGTGTGTGTGAGAGAGAGAGAGAGAGAGAGAGAGAGAGAGAGAGAGGCAGAAATCATCTCTGTGGACATAAATGCTTCTCACTATGCCTTGTGAGTGTGTGTGTGTGTATGTGTGTGTGTGTGTGAAAGTGGGGGAGAAGAGGGAGAAATCATCTCTGTGAACATCAACTCTTCCCACTGTGCCTTGCACAAAGTCATGAGGCATAGCATGTGGCCAGCGATCAAGTTTAAAGGGACCCAGGCCTCTAGGAAGTGCTGGACTCTGCCTCGACTCACAAGACTACACACAGGTTCCCACTGTGCGAAATCCCCCCACTGTTCTCAATGTCTGCTTAGAAACTCTCCTTTCACACCTGTCCACACAGCTGAGACATGGTAGTTAGAGACACACGCCGAGAGCTAACTAGCCTGGGATCCAATCTTGGTCTCACATCTCCTGAGGTGAGTGACTATTAAAGGCAGTGATCTCTGTATGTACTTTCCTCATCTGTGAAATGGGCTACAGTCAGGACCAGCTAGAAAACAGTCAGCTTCTAGATATGACTGATGATATGTTGATGCCATCAGATATGGCTGCTATGGTTACAGTGTGGAGGGGAAATGGCTCACTCTGCCGAAAAGAAGCCAACAACAAATTCAGACATGCAGCCCCATCTCTAATGTAAGGTTCAGGGTTCTGCCGGCAGGCGTGGGTCCGGTGACACCAGGAACCAGGACCTACCCAGTCAACAATGAGGATCTTGCTGGCCTTGCCTTGTTGCTGAAGCTGTCTGCAGGCGATGGCCACGGAGTTGAAGAAGCAAAAGCCCCTGGAGGAAGGAGAGACGGTCCTGCCAGCCCATAACCACCCTTCTTGGCCTAAAGGGAGGCTCTGGAGGCTGCCCCCACCTCACACCACACAGGCCCGCCTCCCCAACGCCTTACATGGCTGTGGAATGATCAGCGTGGTGTCCTGGGGGCCGCACCACAGCAAAACCGTTCTGAAAGGGCAAAGACACTTATCACTCCAACAGCCATCCCTAGCCTACATCTGCCTGAGCCCATTCCCATCCTGGCCTCTTTCTCGAAGGAGGGAAAGGTGTGAGTGCCAGCATGTCGCACCAAAGTGTCCAGACACTTCATATACAAGGCAGGCCTCCCTCTCACAGCGACTCTAGATCATAAACGTCATCACCCCCAATTTACAGATGAGAAATCAAACGACAGTGAATTGATCCAAGTTACATGGCTGCGAACGGTAGTGACGGGAGCCCTTATGACGCCAAGGGCACACTGATCGCCTGGGGCTATGAGCGCTCAGACACTGGAGCTGTGTGCTTCAGGCAGATCACCCTGAGGCACTCTCTGAGAGCAGTGAGCATAACCCCAACCTAATATGCAGGATCCCATCACTAAAATGAGTCAACAGGGCTGTGGTACTCAAGAGTGGCCATGATGCACCCACAGCTATAACACAGGTCTTAAGTGACCTCGGATGGTTAGGACTGTCTGAGACACCAAGGTGCTAGTGCCCGGTGGCTTGATTACCTGTGACATGAACTTAGGGGTCAAGCCTTACCTTGGTTTCAGCCCCGATTTCCCTTTCAAAACCTTGTAATAGTATCCACAAGGAGTGAGAGGTCTGAGGCTGGGATCCAGAAGCCCCACCCCACCATCACCTGGGCATCTCCTCTGGAGTTTAGCAGCCTTTAATCTAAATGTCCTACCTTCAGCTCTCCGGAAGCCACTCTGAAGGCGAGGTCAGTGACGCTGCCTGCGGCCCAGCGGGCTGCATTGGAGGAGTGCAGCTCGTTCCAGATGGTGTCAGTATCTACCTGTGGGGGCCAGGGTCGGGGACTGCATCATCCTATGCTTTCCACAGGAGATAGGGCCCCGTGAGGCAGTGCCCACCCCATGGCCAGGACCCCAGGGGCAGGGAGCTGGGCAGACAAAGCTGCCTCCCCAGTGCCCCACCGCCCAAAGGCAAGGCCTCCTGTGTCCCCAGTCCCAGCAGGACTTCTTCCCAGCACCAACTCGTGTGTGGCCAGCACTCTGCCTCCCCAGTCAGGGGAGGGGGCATGGCGTTACCTGGGCGGGATTGGGGTATGGGCCGGGAGGGGTTTTAAGCCCCAGCTGACTCTGCTCAGGCCCTGCGGGATGGTCGGAGCTGGAAGGGCCGTCTGCACCACTGTCTTCCACTCAGGGCCCCTAGCCCAGGCTGGGAGGCCCCCCAAACCCAGTCCCTGGGCCTCAAGGCTAGGGAGGGGCCGGGGGCCATGATGGGGAGATGGGAAGGGCGAGGCGGACCGAGAGAGGCGAAGAAGGCAGAAAGAGTCGCAAGAGGCTGGAGAGAGAGAGAAAGAAAGGACAGAGAGGGAGAGGAGGGAAGGGAGAAGAGAAGCAACAACAGTTGGAAAAACCAGAAAGTGGCAAGAAATGGGGAGTTGTGAACAGGGCACTGACTGTCTCCCCAACAGCCCCCCTGGCAGTTCCCACTGCCCTCCTTGCTCAGCCTCCACCTCATTTCCACACACCTTGCCTGGCACCATGACAGGGACATTCTGAGGCAGGGAGGCCATGCCAGAGGAAGCAGAAAGACCTCCGACAGGTGAAGGAGAGACGAGCAAAGCTGGGGGCTGGAAGACTGTGTCTTGGGCAGGGATGTTCTAAACCTCTAAGTACATGGGAGGCACCCCACAGCCCCACACTAGGCAGTCCAAAATCTGGAGGTCAAGTAGGGGTACACCTGAGAGAGACCCACTCCTGGGCAGGCAGAGCTGCCAACTCCTGGGACATAATCTCAAGCCCCAATGTGAGCCTGTCTTGAGCCTCACTCAACACCTACCAAATACCTTCTAACTGTGAGGCGCTGGGCTCCACACTCGTGGGACACTAACGGGACTGGGATCTCTCTCTCTCTCTCTCTCTCTCTCTCTCTCTCTCAATCTCTCTATCACATGGAACTCCCAGCCAGCAGAACATACTGGGAAAGGCCCCGACCTACCCAGTCTGACAGAACCACAAGTCCCAGGTGGCAGAGGGGTGGGAGAGGGCCAAGAGAACTGAATGGAAGGCTGAAACCCCTTGGCAATGCCCACTTGAGATCTCTGGGCATACTTACCCCAACCCCGCCACAGGGTAGCATCACGAACATCCGCTGTGCCAGGAGGCCTGTGGGGAGAGGGTCCGGGTCACGTGAGTGAGGAGCACAGAGGCCTTAAAAGTAAATATGGAGGGAAAAGCAATACAGGGAGATACGGAGATGGGCAGCGGGTGGGGTGCGGTGGGCAGATGACACACGGACAACAGCAGGGCAGCACACTGGCCCGGGGGTAGCTAGGCAGCTGGGCACAGCTGCGGCACGAGTGCAGAGGTGGGTGATGTGGGTAAGCGCGGGATGATTCAGGGCTGACATCACCTGCCTCCCTCTCCTACCTGTCAGCTTCCCATTATCCAGTTTGAGGCGGCTGAGGGGGTTGGTGCCATAGAGGAGGACGTGCCTTTCAGAATGGACTGATTGCAGCTCCTCTAGGGAGGCCTTTCGACCCCGGAGACACTGAGGGAGGGTCCACAGAGCTCGTGTGGTTTGCTCACCCCACCCTTCCACCATCCCCAGACCGCCCACTCCCTCATCCCTTGCTGACCTTTCGCCCCTTCCCGTGCACAACCCCACCGCCTCACCTCACACTGGCTGCGGAGACCCCGCTCCTGCAGCCGGGACCAGATGCTCTGGATGCGGCCTGCATGCTCAGGGTGCTTGCTGTTGTCTCCACAGGAGCATTGGTGTTTCAGCATCACTGAGTCATAGACCAGCCCTGCAAGAAACAGCGGTCAGGGCCGGCAGTCGGGGAGGGGCGGTCCACCACGGCTACAGATGGAGATGAGCCCATACCCACAGAGCCAGGCATGTACACATCCCTTGCTGCCACACGTGTGCATTCCCTGCCCAGCCCTCATGTGGAGAGCCAGCCCTGTTTCCCTATGCACACATCTAAATGCCTCAGGCAGCCTGATGTACACACCAGGGCACTACTAGCCCGACCTTGTTCTGTATGATCCCTGCCTGCCTTCTTGGTACTCTTACTCCTTCCTCACAAGGCTCAACATATCTCCTGTGCACTTGAGAGTTCATGCCCTAAACCAGAGACTTAACACAGGACATCTCCCTCTCGGTGTCCCAACACAGAGAGGAAAAGCAATTCCAAGGAAACCTCAAGACTGGGAGAGGGGTACCCACAATGCTACTGGCCACGTGGCCAGTCTCCCAACTGCATATGGAAAACACTCAGAGAACTGGTTTACCTTGTAAGCAATATGCAAACAGCATGAAAACTATTTACATAGCATCTACCTTGTACGAGGTATTAAAAGCAAAACGGAAGTGATTTAAATATGTGGAAAGATATGCACAGGTTAAACGCAAATGCCATTTTACATGGCGAGCTTGAGCATCTATGGTTCTGGTACCTTTACAAGGTGGGCTGGGGTCCTAGAATCGCCTCTCTGAGGGACTAAGAAACTGTATTTCAGCCTACACCAAGGGAAGTCTCCAGAAACAGACCCTGTCCATGCACACTGCTGTGGGACGGTCAGAGTCTGCACATCTCAGGATACCAGAGACTTTCAAAATGCTCACACCATTTGACCCAGGAATGCTACTCCTTAAGAATGACCCTCAAGAGATAATCCCAGACAGAAGACATAAGAAAATTAAAGGTCAGGTGTGGTAGCACACACGTTTAATCCCAGCACTCAGGAGGCAGAGGCAGGTGTATCTGGTGAGTTCTGGGCCACACAGAACTTCATAGTAAGAGTCTATCTCAAAAACTAACAAGCAAAGCAAATTAAAACTACAGCCAGGTGGTGGTGGCACACGCCTTTGATCACAGCACTCAGGAGGCAGAGAAAGGTGGATCTCTATGAGATCAAGACTAGCCTGGTCTGGACAGCCAGGGCAACACAGAGAAACCCTGCCTCAAAAAGAAAACAGAAAACAAACAACAACAAAAAATCAACCAAAAAAAAAGAAAGAAAGAAAGAAAAGAAAAAAGGAAAAAAGAAAAAAAAAACAAAAAAAATTAAAAAGAAAGAATTAAAACAAAAAAAATTGAAATGAAAACTGAACTGGGCACGGTGATTCACACCTGCAATTCTAGTGTTTGAATACCTGGCACCATTAGCAAAAAATAAAAAGGACTCAGTCAAACAGGATGCAAAATAATAGCTGGCATACCTGTGACATTAGACAGGTACAGGCTAACTTAAACCTATAATGAAATACACAGAGCTTAGGGCAACAAGACTCTTGGTGATTTTTTTTATTCCTATATTTCCTTGAATTTCTCAAAATGTTTGAAATAGTTTTGAGCTTTTTTTTACAAGTACAGCAATGGTAAGTGACGTTTCGGCTTTTGTTTTAAAAGGTCATGGTAGAAGGAGACCAAATTCCTTCCTGGCCCGACTGCTGCTTCTGTCGCTTAACCATAGCTAGTTACTGTCAACTTAGGTTTCCTGAGTCGTGATGTCCTCACCTGCCTCATGGGCACCAGGGAGCTCAAACAAGATTAAGGCGTGCTCTATGGTCTCTGGAACTGTCCTGAATACTGGCTACAGACATGGACACACACCCCAGCCTCTTCCTCCTGCCTCCCCAAGAGTCCCCTTTCGGTCTTACCTGTGGCAGGTGTCTCTGAGCTGTTGAGGACTTGGGTCTGACAGGTGGGCTCTGGGCTCAGTAGGGAAACAGGAGCTGCTGGGGAAGACTGGGTTCTGGACAAGGGCCGGTGTCCGACCTGGGCCAGAGGTAGCAACACAGAGTCGCCGGAGCTTCCCTGGGAGAGCTGCCCAGTTAGATGCTGCTGCTCCCAGAGCGGCACCTGAAAGAGACATGGCCACAGTCTCCAGTTTCTCAGATTTGACCACCCAAGGACTAAGGACTCTCCAGATAGATCCCCCTTTCTAGAAAAATTCCAGATATGCACTCTGGCCTTTCAACTCTCCTGCTCCCTGAAGACCAGCACACAGACTGATGCCCTGATTTCACAAGAGCTCCTTGGCTGAGTCTATGCTGACCGAGATCACCTCTCCTGGACTGTGCTAACCACAAAAAGACCTTCCTGGGACACTAAATGCATGTGAACTGTCACTACCAAGTGCTGCTGGTAGAATCCCATTTCCCAAATTCATAAAGTCTTAAGCCCCTGTCTTTGGAGGTAAGGTCTTTGCAGGGGGAATCAAGTCATCACTGAAGAGGCTTGCCGTCCCTCTAAGGAGGAAATCTGAGCAGAGGCCTACAGACAAGCCTTCCTCTACAGCTCAGAGCACACATTCCCACCCCACCCAACACACACACACACACACACACACACACACACACACACACACAAACACCTTGATTTCACCGTCAGCCCTCAGAGCTTCAAGGTGATCAGTATCTGCCTTTCAAAAAACCTGTGTGTAGTTCCTGCTGCCGTGGTCTTGGCAAATGAACACTGCCTTGACCCCCCCATGCTATTAATCTAAAGCCCAGAGGACTACTGTTGTCCGCTTTTTGCCCCAGCTACCTTTGGATAAAAGACACTTAGTTGTAGGGAGAAGTGTGAAGTGGGAGTACGTGTGGTTCTGTGAAAGGCCAAGAAGCAGACAAAAGAAGAGGGTCTACTTGAGAAAGCAGGCTACTGGTGTGTATGTGCACATGAACACACACATGCACACACACGCACCCCTGCACACGCACGCACCCATGTGGGCATCTGCACCTTGGTGTGGGTCTTATGCTATCCCCCTTCCTTCCCCATTATGTCAAGCCTTCTGACTGAGCTTTGCAGAGCCCTTGGGCCCAGCCATACCTGCTGGCGCTGCTGCAGAGAAACGGGGCCTCTGCCCTCGGGAGGCCCGTGGCCTGACTCCCTAGGTTCCAGGCGATCATTCACCACAGGTCCCACTCCCCCACCATCTGTCTCTAGGTCCTCAGCTGAGGGTATCTGCCGCAGTCGGGGCTTCTCGCTTGGCTTGGCGGGCCTCTGGGGAGGGGAGATGGCTGGCTGAGAAGTGGGATAGAGAGGAGGGTGGGTGGCAGGGCATGGATTGGGTGAGGTCACATTCATCTTGCTAGGTGTTCAGCAGCCACCTCTCTTGTCTGCCAGGCCTTTCCTCTTCCTAAGCGCCCTTCTTCCAACCCACAGGGGCTCACTCAGGCATGCCCTTAGCACTTCCCCTACCCAGTTTTTCTCACCTTGATCAGCTGGACATGAGGTTTGAGCCGATCCTGTCGGGATTGCAGGGGGCCCAGCAGAGGGGAGGCAGTGGCGCTGGGGGGCAGGGGTTCTGAGCGGGTCCGGTTAAGTGGCCGGTGGAGGCCTGAGCCGGAGAGCCGCTCGGTGGTCAGTAAGGGCTGGGCAAATTGGAAGGGCAAGGGCCCAAGCCCAGGCACTGGAAAGAATAGATGTATGTAAGGAAGGGATTCTGACAGGGGCATAGAGTGGAGGTAGGGTTTGTCAAGAAGATACAGACAATAAGGGATTAGAAGGTGGGTCTTACCCATTCTGGGAGAAGTAGCAAGACTCACCAGTCCACAGTGGGGCGTGGGAGACTGAGGGATCCAGGAGGAGAATGGGCTGTAGGCGAGAGGGTAAGGTCCCTCCAGCCTCGGGCTCCAGACCATGGTGCAGGAAGAGGGGAGCGTGGGGGTTCCCCAGGACAGGACCCCGAGGGCCCAAAGTCGAATGGGTCCTGCGGTCACCATCAGCCTGAAAGAAAGGAAAGAAGTCAGAGTTGGACAGGATTCTGGGAAAGGAAGGTAAAGGAGAGGCAACAGGACACAGGCAGGAAAGAGGCTGGAGAAGCGCAGAGTGGGGGCAGGTTGCCCCAGCCACTCACCCTGGCAGGGGCAGGCAGCCCCAGTGTGATTGCGGGCAGCAAGGACATTGTCGGCAAAGCGAACGGGGCCAGAGAAGTCTCCTGCAGCCGCAGCCGCTGGCCCAAGAGCGCCTGCCATGGGGAGCAGGGTGACGGGTCACCAGTCCTGGAACTCTAACCCTGGTCTGCCTGTCCCCAGAACACCCAAGAGGCCCTGCTAGGGACTCCCCAGACCCTGAAGCCTCAGGCCAGGCCACATGCTGGAAAAAGGCCAAGACTCAGAACTGCCCCCCAGGAAAGCCCAGTCCCAGTAAAGCCTTACCTCTGAGCCCAGGGCAGGGTTGGGGGCATGCTCGCTGTCATTGGGGGAGCTGCACCCTGAGGCAGGTGTGCTGCTACTACCGGGGGAGGAGTCTGAGGAAAAATAAAGAAATAGCCAGGGTCAGGATTCCTGGCCACAGTTCCTCCCTTCTGGGATGTGTTTCTGCTTTCTTCCTGGAGGAACAGAAAGTCGCCAGACCGCCACCAGCCTGAGGCATCTCTGGGCAGTTGCTTTTGTGCAGCTCCCAATTCCCCTGCAAACGCCAACTTAGCAGAGCCAACAAGGTTAGGACTTAGCCTCAACTCGCCCTCTCCCGGGCAGGTGTGTGGGATACACCCTGGACAACTCTTAGCAGGCCCACATGGCAACTTCCATCTGGGTGGAGCACCACGGGTAAGGAGGGCAACTCCACGGCCCTGCCCGATTGGATCCTACCTCCAAGGGTCTCAGCAGGCCGCCTCCGAAGGCTGGGCGGGGCACTCTCCTTTCTGAGCAGGGGATTCTTGCGCCGCTCCAGGGACTTCTTGGGCTTATAGCGCAGCTTCAGGTTGGGCTCAGACACTGCAGAGGAACCAGCATCACTCCATCGCTATGCTAGTTACCCTGCTCCTCTCCACTCTTCTTTCTCTTAAAGGTCCTCACTACATAGACCAGGCTGGCCTTAAACTCACAGAGCTCTGCCTGCCTCTGCCTCTTGACTGCAGGGACTAATGGCATGCACTACCGATAGGCCTGCCTTTTCTGTGCCCTTTAACTTCCCTCCTGGCCACCTCTATGGGTTAAAGAGAAAAAAGGTAAAGCCAGAAGGGGAAAACAACGTAGTGTGCTAACTGCCCCAGCCCTCCCTCAGCCCCATACTCCTGACCTAAATCTAAGGCCCTTCACCTACTCTGATCCCCGCAAAGGTCTGCCTTGCTCACCTGTTTTACGCAGGGGAAAGTGTTCCGGGGCTTCAGTGGGTAGGCTGGGAACTGCAGGCAGGAAGCTGCTAAGCACAGAGCGGGCAGCACCCTCTGTGTCCAAGGGCTCAAGAGTTCTGTGGGGTGAGCATCAAGGCTACTTCAGAAGCCCGGGATGCCCAAAGGCCCTGAAATCTGACTGTGCATAGACGCCTTCCTGAGCACAGCTGCCAGCAGGGCAACCACCAACAAAACAGAGTTCGGCAGTGTGGAGCCAGCATGCCAGGAGTCATCTCCAGGTGGCAGTAGTGGGTCACCCATGCTAATGTAGTTGGTCTGCTCCTGGGATAAAACCCAGGCCTTGGAGCTTAGGGCCCCCTGGAGACTCAGTGCCTCCTGTGGTAGGAACCTTTTCTAGGAACCAGGGCTTCCAGGGCCTCAGGTGAGACACAGGGAGAAAACTGAAGAGGAGGGAGGACAGGTCCTCATTGAGGGGGATTTGGGGGGATCATGTTAGAGGTGGAGTAAGAAGCAGGTGGTAGGTGTTAGGGAGGAAGGGGCTATAAGCATGTGTGCCAGGTAACTCACAGGTGAGTATGTAGGGCAGAGGGGGCACAGAAAGGACCCGAGGGATGGTGAGCCGCTACCTGTAGGGAATACTGGGGCTGCTGGGATGGACTGTTCTCTCAAGGGCTGCCTGCTGTTTTTTCAGGATCACCTCAGCCAGCTTCTGCTTGACCACACTGCTGGCTACAGCACCTGCAGAGGCAGAGACACAAGAAGGCTGGCAATGGGGAGACAGGAAGCCTCTCGGGTTCATTCTCTGCCCGCTGTCCAGGTCACACTTCCAGCGCACCACGTCTCAGGGGCTCCTCAGGCAAGAGAGGTAGGCCGGAGCCTCCAGCCCTCATGTGAAGCCTCTAGACACTTCTGCCCACACTTCTGTTCACAGGCAGAGCAGAAGGCATCCTAGAAAATGGTGACCCTTCCACACACCCCTTCCAGGCCCATGGGGGACCCTGAACAGCAACCAGAGAACAGGGGAGACAGACCCCACTCACTTCGCTTGCTCTTGTCTTTATTGCGAATTTGCCGAAGTTCTTGTTCCTGCTGTCCCCCCTGCAGCTCTGGCACTGGTGCGTCCATGGAGAGCTGTGGACAGAGCAGAGCCGGCAGCTCAGGGAAGGCGGAGTAAAGGACAGAGCTAAGGTCCGGGGAGGCTGGGGTGTGTCTAGGGAGTTCTGTCTTTACCCTCATGGGCTCCGCTGAGCGCTGTGGCTGTTGCAGGCCTGCCAGGAAGAGATGGCGGTGCAGACGCTGGGGGTGCTGCAGGGCCAGTAGCGCAGGCTCTGGTACAGGCTCCACTGTGGGCCGCTGGCCCACGCGCAGATCCATGGGCTGGGACTGGCAGCCTGGTGTGTCTGGCTGGAGGGCAGGGCAGCCTGGGGACACACAGCAGTGTCAGGTGGATGGTTAGTCTGCGGGAACACGGTCACAGACGACTGAACCCTCGGGGGCAGATTCGACATTGGTAAAATCACCCTTAGGGGAAAGCCTGTCAGTGAGGTACAGGTGGGACCTGGATGCCAATCTACCTATGAGGAAAGAGGTTTACAAACTACAGACATGCTCCCTTTCGATTGCGGATGGCTAGCACTGAGCCATAAGACTGCAAGCATGGTGTCGTCCCCCTAGAACACTTTTCCACTGGCTTGGGGCTAAAGCTATAGTGTTTTCTGAGATGGCGATGCAGTTCTAGGCTCTATACTCTGCTTCCTTTGTCTTTCTAGGAATGAGGCCAGGTCTGCTCAGGATAGGAGAGACCAGGCAGGTAACCAGGCCCACTCACTCGGTCTCTTAAACCCTCAGCTGCCCCTCTCTCATCCCCATGCTCTCTCTGTACCACTCCTGTCCTTGGGATCCAGACATTATGCCTGGAGCTCACAAGCAGCCCTGGCTGGTTCCCTCCGCTCACTAGGCCCATGAGCTGTGGTGCGGACTCCTGCCTCCCATTGGAGCCAGCTGTGGGCCTGGCAAGGCCAGCAGGCTCAGCTGCTGCTTCTCCAGTGTCCTCTGCACCCACGCCAGGAGCACCTTGCCAAGACCGTGGGTGCAGGAGCTATTTATAGCTCACCAGCAGACCAGGGACTGTGCCAGCATAGCCAGCTGGCCCGGCTGGGCTAAGCAGCCAGGGGTGCTGAGATGCTGGGAGGTGGGGCTGCTGCAGGAGAGGGGGTCCCAGGGAAGGGAAGGATGAGAGCACAAGAGAGGGGGAATCTTCTTCAGGCATCCCCTCCCAGAGCAGCCACAGCTACCCTCAGGGGCTGGCACTGGTGAGGAATGGGAAGATCCCCAGTGAAACACCAACGGGAGAGTCAGGAAATGTAGTCTGTGGTCTGATGCAGCCAGAGGCATCACAACCTTAACATCTGTGGTGCATGCATGCAACAAAACCCACTCAGCTCTCAGGCCATCTGCCTTGGATGCTAGTTATTGCTAGCCTTTATCCCAGATGAGCCAAGTGGGGTCCCGGTGTGAGGGGTACATCAAGGGGCAGAGAGAGGCTGGAGTCCAGTCCTCTGAAGGCCAATGCTACATTTCCCCACCAACGCTCAGGAAATTCACCTCCCTCTGGAAGGGGCTCCCACTGGGCAAGGGAAGAAAGAACTCGTGGGGACATTGTCACTAAGAGGTTTCAGTCCAGCACTGTGAGGTGGACATGAAGAGTTGAGCTAGGCCTACTGTGGTCCTCCAATTACTTAGCAATTTGAGAGAGTGACTGCGCATTCAGATGCCACCCACAGTAAACAAACACCAGGATTTGGTGCCCTCACTCCTGTTCACATGGCTACCCAAGAAATCATTCTGGTTGAGTATGGGCCTCCATTGGCAACTATTCCCGACCCATGAGAGGCCTGTCTCCTCAAGTTCTAATGTACGGGCTTCCTGAGGCCACTCCCTTGGAGTAGGAATCAGGAGCGCCCGAGGCGGGACACTATACCTGAGGCTTGTGGCTTTAGCCACAGCAAATTTGGAGCAGCCACCTAAGAGCCACCGCCATCTTCACTCAGTATTACTTCCGCCAGTGCAAAAGGATGCCAGGACAGAGGCTGGACTCTGGTCAGAGCTTTGGGAATGCCTGTCGGGGTGCCTTAGCATTGTGGGGGAGATGCTCCATCGGGTAGCTCCGAGACAGGGAAAGTTCTCTGGGAAGCCTCCTTCAGGCATTTCCCAGTGAACACCCATCTCAACTTGGTCTCCTCCAAGTTTGTGAACAAAGCCACCAAGTAAGACAGTGACTCCCCACTCCACCCCATAACAGACCCAGAACTTCTTATCCCCCGTCTTTGGCTCGCAATGTCTCCTGTCGGTGCTGTCTCTACATCTCGCTTTCCCAAACCAACGGCTCAAAGCCCAGCCGGACCTAGGTCAGCACACAGCACCCCTTCCTCCTGGACTCCAGGTTGGCTGCTCATAGCATTGTAAGCTGTCCAAGGGCAAGCCTGGGTTAAGCTCCAGAGGTTGGCTTTGGTTTGCCACTGCTCACCATCCTGGGACTTAGGATAGTGTAACCAGGCATAAGGTAGAAAATAAACACAGACTCGCAGGGAGATCTTGGTATTTCTCCTCAGTGGCTTAGGACGGTGGTTCACATCTGTGCAGTTCGTTAACGATTCGGAGCGAGAGGGTAAGTTCATGAGTCAGTGGTCTCAATTAGCACAGGACATGTGTTACTACCTATCCCCCCTTTCTGTCTTGTCTCCTTTTCTGTGTCCTGTCTTCCCAAGCTTTGGGACAGCTGAACTAAGAGCCTCTGGTCCCTTCCAGTTCTCCCTGCTATGTGCTACGTGGTGGAATCCCTACCTACATCATTGCCCGTGGCAAGTCAGGGAAAGGACAGCTTCAGACCTCCATTCGAGACCTAGGTAGCAACAGGAAGTTCACTGCAACCCAGGCTTCCAGGAAGAGCGAGTGACAGCAGAGGCGGTCCAGGCCAGTAGGGAGGACCCAGAGAAAGTCATCTAACCAATAAGAGACCTCACTGTTTCCTGAAGGGCCCATGAGAGGACAGAATAACTTGAAAACAGGAACACAACTCTTTTAACCTGGATCCAAAGATGCCTCTCCTGTCCTTATTCTTCTGGAGGCCCAACTTTGTCCCTTCCTTAGGACCCCCATCTTCCAACTCTCCGGCCCAGCAACATCCCCACTTCTTCACACCCTTGGCGTCTCACCTTTCCCAGGTAGTTTTTATTCCTCATCCTCATCTCCCACCCAGCTCTCTCAGGCCTGACTTTTACCTGTGCCAAGGTGAGTGGGGCAGCGGGTACCCAGGCTTACCTGGGACCCGTCTGTAGAAAGGAGAGAGCTGAAGGTGTATTGGCAGGGGGAGAGGGGCAAGGGAAGAGGGCTACCACCCCTGGAGAGGGCAAGCTCCCTGCTGCTCCAGGCTGGCCAAGTGGGATCTCCAGCTTCTGCAGCCAGCTACCAAGTGCCTTAGCTAGCTACTCCACTGCCTGGGCACAGTGCACAACAAGAACTCAAGGAAGCCCCAGTTCACCCAACAATGCCCTCAGCCCTCCCTAATGTGGTCAGATACCATCTTCCCTGGGCAGCCAAAGCACATTCCCAACAGCCTGAGAGGGAAAAAGCAGGTTCGGGGGTGCAGGACCAGACGTGGGAGCATGTGGCTGGGGAGGGCAAGAGCGAGCTGGGGAGAGCAGGCCTTGAGAAGCAGAAAGTAAATGTCAGGAACAGGAAGAGTCTTCAAAGCGGGAAAAGACTGAGCTGTGACTGCAGGAAAGGGAGAGCTGGTAGGAGCTGTGAAGTAGGGGAGATAGGCACCCCAAGGACCCCAGTGTAGGGCCCCTTCATCTAGCTGCCCCATTCTTGATTGTCCAAGTAAAAGTCCCATTAAGCCTTTCTGAGATAACCTGGGTTAGAAATCTTTTCTTTGGAAATGGTGATCTCTCCCAGGCTCCCACAAAACTACAATAGGAACTTGGGTTGGTTGATACAGAAAAGACCCAGACAGGCTAGGAGGGGGAGGCAGACATGAGTTCTCACAACAACCTGTCTGCAGTGCCATCCCAGCTCGGGGCCAAGGAACTGAAGGCCCTCCCAGAAGGGTCAAGGAAACCGAAGGCTTTCTCTAGGCAGTATTTAGTGGCTACACTCCTCAGACCAGACCTAGCGCACAAGGTTGCTTCCTGGAGGGAGATGGGTGCTGCTTTCTGGACCCGTGCTCAGTGGGCAGCTCCAGGCATAAGGGACTCAAACCAATGGCCCATCATACCTTACCATCCATGCCTTGGTACACAGTTCTGTGAGGACATGCTGCCCCCACCCATTAATTCAGTCACCTCCGGAGGTCTGTCTGAGCCCCCATGTCGGGGCAGGACTGGCCCTATCTGCTCTCCTCACTTCTCATGCACTCCCAGTGTCCCCACATCTTGGCACAGCATTGATAATGGGATCAGTGGTGGTGTTTATCAGCCATCCTCACCTGCAGTAACACCTCCTAAGGCACAGGAGGCCCTGTTGGTCCCGATGAATCACACAGTGATCCTCTCCAGACTCCCTGCCTAAAACAGAAATATTTCTCAAGTTTTGTAATCCCCAAGAAAGAACTACCCCAGAAGCTGCCTCCTCTTTCTAGGGCTAATCTTCATTCTGAACGTCTCAGGACCCCCTTCTTCTGGGGGCTCTGGTCCTGAGAGGTTTCTGCACTGACTCTTAGTGTGTTCCCTGTATAACAGTTAACCTTGGTGGTCAACCTGACATATGGGAAGAGACACCTCAGCAGAAGAATTACCACCATCAGACTGGCCTGGTCTGCTCTATGAGGCTTTTTTTTTAAATTGCTAACTGACAGAGGAAAGCAGAGACACCCAGGCAGGTGGTCCTGGGTTGTATGAGGAAGGTAGCTGAGAGAGGCAGAGAGAGCAAGCCGGGAAGCAGCACTCCTCCACGGTTTCCGCTTCCACATTCCTGCTTGAACTCCTTCCCTGACTTCCCTCAATGACAGATGTACTATGATGTGGAACCATAATCCAAACAAACCCTTTCCTTCTCCAAGTTGCTTTTGGTCATGGTGTTTACCACATTGCTGAAACCAGATTTTCTTCTTTTTTCCTTTCTTTTTTTTGTTTTTTGTTTTTTTTTTGTTTTTTTTTTTTTTGTTTTGTTTTGTTTTGTTTTGGACAGGGTTTCTTTGTGTAGCTTTGGAGCCTGGAGCCTGTGCTGGATCTCACTCTGTAGACCAAGCTGGCTTCAAACTCACAGAGATCTGCCGATCTGCCTGCTCCTGCCTCCCGGGTGCTGGGATTAAAGGTGTGCACCACCACCATCCAGCTCAGAAACCAGATTTGGACACACTGTCAGGTCCAGAGGTCCCCTGTATCCTGGGAATTAACTTGCACTTCCCCTAGGTCCTTGCCTT